GCCAAAACTTTAAAAATATTTCCATTGTATTAGTAGTTAAAGTACAATAATTTTATAAAGCTTACTGGATTCATAGTCTCAAAATCATGGTTTTAGAGTACAGTATTAATTCTTAATTGCATTTCAGGAAAAATTTACATACTTTGAAATGCATAAATTTTAAGTATACAATTCAGTAATTTTCATAAATGCATATAACCTTGTAAACACTACCTCAATCAAAATAAAGAACATTTCTATCATCCCAGAAAATTTGTCTCATGCCTGCCTTTGGTCAAAACCTACCCTCCATTGTTTGGATTCTATCACTATAAATTCATTTTGCCTATTAAACTTTACAGAAGTGGAATCATCGTGTATTCTTTTATGCTGGGCTTCCTTCACTCAGCACGATGTTTTTAAGATTCATCCAAATTGCGTATATCAGCTTATTCTTTGTTATTTATGGGTAGTGTTCCTTTATACTCACAAGACTATCACAATATATTTGTGATATATTTTGATACATATTGTAATATATTTGTGATCACAGTTGACTGTCATCTTTAATTCCTTGAACATATTTATAGTAGCTACTTTAAAGTTCTTGTATGCCAATTCTAACATCTGGCCATCTTGAGGTTGGTTTCTAGTGATTGCTTTTTCTCTTGATTATGTGTTACCTTTTTTTGATTTTCTTCTCATGTCTAGTTATTTTTGATTGTATACTGAACAATGTGATGCTACTTCTTAGACATTCTAAATTCTGTTATCTAGAATGTGGTTGAAGTATCTGCTCAACTCTTTTATTTATTTATTTTTTTGAGACAGGGTATTGTTCTCTTGCCCAGGCTAGAATGCAGTGGCATCATCATAGCTCACTGCAGCCTCAAAATCCTGGGCTCAAGTGATCCTCCTGCCTCAGCTCCCCAAGTAGCTGGGACTACAGGTGCGCTACTGCACCCAGCTAGTTTTTCTATTTTTAATAGAGACGGGGTCTCACTCTTGCTCAAATTGGTCTCAAACAACTGAGCTCAAGCAGTCCTCCTGACTTGGCCTTTCAGAGTGCTGGGATTACAGACATGAGCCACTGCGCCTAGCCTCTTTTCTGATATCTTTAAAAAAAAAAAAAAAAGACATTCTCACTGAGTTAAAACTGCCTTGTACCTTTAGAGCTGTTATTGCCTTCAGGAGAAAGTTATATAAACATGGATCTTACCTGGTGCCATTTCCTTGTTTCAAGAGTAGATTCCTGGCCGGGGATTGGTAGCTCATGCCTGTAATCCTAGCACTCTGGGAGGCCAAGGTGGGAGGATAGGTTGAGGTCAGGAGTTCCAGAGCAGCCTGAGAAAGAGTGAGACCCCATCTCCACTAAAAATAGAAAAAATTAGCTGTGAGTGGTG